ACGGGGCTGCCAGCCCTGTCCTCAGATGGGTACACGTGGAGAAGTGGGAACAGGAACCACACGCGTGTGTGAGACCTTCATAAATACAGGGTCCAACTTTTGCTCTCTGATCCTGGCAAATGGCCTGATGTCATTAAATTGTCAAAGCCATTATTTTCAGGACTGATGGTTAATGAGGCGAAACTAAAGGGGAAAAAGGTCACCAACTTCCACTGCAGGTTTTAGGGGCGCTGCAACCTGAACATTTCTTGAAGCTGAGCTGATCCGCAGCCGCTTGGGCAGCAGTGGGCCCAGAGCAGTGGTTCTTAGCCTCCCCCTAGGAAGCTGGCTGCATGCAGATCCCTGGCCCCAGCAACCCTGATGTGGGGGGGTTCAAGACCCACACTTGGTGAACCACTGGCATGAAGGAAAGAGCTGGGATTTACTTACAATTCACCTGCCCATAGACAATTGGCTTAACTTCTAGGAGCCTTAGGGCTCTTCTCTGTAAAGCAGGGCTATGAGGTTTGACCTGCAGGGTTGCTGGGAAGGTCAGGAATGAGGTATTAGCAGCCCCTAGCAGCAGTGGGCCTGGCCCCAGCATGTGGTGGGTATGTGGTCCCTGGGCAGCCCACCGGGAGCCAGCAGGGATACTGTGTGGCCCTGCTCAAGTTTCTGTGCACGTCTGTTATTGTGTGCCACCCTCCCCCATTCCTGGCGTTCCTCGCCCGCCTGGAGTTCAGTGGCTGGGCTGAACCCTCAGAAGAGTTTTTCTAGACTTCATCTCCCCTCTTTAGGGGAGAAATGGGGAAGCGGAAGGAAAGTGGAGACTCCCAATGGCAGGCAGTGTCTCGGCCACAGAGCTCTGCCTTCTCCCTTCTGTGGAGGCACTGATGGCGGGCAGGATGCTGCCCTTCAGAGGCCGGCACCTGGGCAGTGTCCGGTGCTCATCAGAGCAGCCTCGCTGGACGCACCTCACCTGATCCAACTGTGGGAAGCAAGGAGGGCAGGTGTTGCTATTGTCTCCATTTTACAGATGAGAAAACCGAGGCCTCTTGCCTCAGTTCTTGGTCCACTCCACTCCATTCTCAATACTATCCTTACAGTGATTTTTAGAAGAAATATGAAGTACAAGTACAGACCCGCTGTGCCCTGCTTGAGACTCCCTCAGCACTCCCAGCTGCTTAGAGCGAGATTCAGAAAACTTTCCACAAAGGGCCAGATAGTAAATATTATAAGCTTTGCAGGGCAAGAGATAAAAATTGAGGCTACTGTGTAGGTACTTATATAAAAAGAGAGAAAACAAATTTTTTCAAATTTTTTCAAATTTTTATTGATAAAATTAAAAATATAGTAAGAATGAGTACAGTAGTTTTGTAATATAGTTCTGCTAATGAGAAGAATGGATTTATTTTGGAGGGCAGGACAACATTTCACTTAGTTGAAATGCAGGGTTAGTGTTCCCTACATCAAATTGGTTGCAAATGATCATCTGTTAAAAACATTTTTAACTAGAGGGCCACATGGAAGTAAGTGGTGGGCTGGACTCACCCTGCAGGTCATAGTTTGGTTGGGATCCTTGTTTAAAGGATCAAGCCTCTGCTTGTTAACCTGCAAACAAGACCTCAGGGACTTGCTGCATGCCTGTCCCCGCCCCCACTCTACAGACAGTCAGCCCCAACTGCTTTTGGCTCCTTAAACATACTTTGCTCTCCTGCTCCTGAGCCTCCTTCTTCCATCCCATTTCCCAGCCTGGGAATTCCTGCCTCTCCTGGTCTATGCTCTTTTTCTGGACTACTTCTCTGGACACTTCCCCTTAATCCCTTCCCTCCCATGCATCCGTGGACCTGTAGCACAGAACTTAGCACATAACATATACTTGGGAGTTGACAGTCTGTAACTCCCTCACTGGCCTGGGACATTCTTAAGGGAAGAAGCTGATTCATTCCTATTGTATTCATTACACATGCTCCCAAAATAGGGAGAGCTCTAGTGACCTTGTCCCAGGTCTTCTGACTGTGGGATTTCTGTGTCACCTTGAGCGCTCACCATGCAGATACCTTGGAAGCACCATGTTCTTACAGCCTACGATTCTCTTGGCCTCAGCTGACTGATCCCAGGGTGAGCACAGGATTCAAGCCAGGCCTCTCAGCCTTTTCCTGATATCTTTCAAGCTGAGGTACAGAAAAGGCACAGGGGTAGGAGTAAAACTCTAGCGTGCTGGCAGCTGTGATCTCACTGCCCTGAGAAAGAAGCAGGGAGGAGTCCTGGGCAGAGAGAGCCCTCCTGGTGTTCGAGTCTGGCCTCTGCAGCTCCTCCTGAGGCTCAGGTGCACCCCTACCCTGCAAATCATCCAGCTGTTCTGCCCTTTGGAAACCACAAGGCAATAGACGCCCCTTTATACCTGAGCTAGTTTCAATTACATTCTGTCAGAGGCAGCTCAAAGACTCCTTTTGTGCTGATCTTGCCATTCTCTCTGTGTGTCACTAGCTTTCAAACTTTTTTTAAGAATAGGAAACCCTTGGTTAAAATAAAACAAAACAAAACAAAACTTACTTAGAAGCCTGAGATGTTAAATAAATGGTAGTGTAGACTGTACAATACAGACTGCCTGGTGCTATATCTACACTCCAAAAACTCCTAGTTATGTGATCAAGGCCAAGACACTTACTGCTCAGCCTATTTCCCTATTTGTAAAATAAGGAGAGTAGATGTACCCAACTCTTAGGATCGCTATAGGATTTAAGTGAGTTAAAATATACAAATCACTTAAGACAGTGCCAGTAATATAACAATCACTCAAAAGCATTAGTTTAGCTATTACTGTACGGAAGTGGGGGATGGGGAGACACTGAGTCCCTGCCACCTGAAGCTCCCATATCACCTCTCGACCACCATAATGCACTTGGCACACATGTAATGTTTAAATTGTTACAAATGACTGATTTAATATATATCTTCTTGGCTAGACTGGAAACTCACAAAGACAAGGAGCATATTTGCCGTGGTTACTGTTTTTGTCCAGGTCTGGCTAGCACAGTAACTTATCCCTAGAACGTGGCAAAAACTATTTGTTGACGACCTGATATGTGCCATCTCATTAAAAAATAGGTACACATATGTTACACGTCACCAAATCTGGTGCAAATGCAGCAGAATCAGAAAAGTCATAAGAAGAGACTTGACTTGTAAGGCTTGACTTATAGGATAACCAACTGAGAAATAAAGTTAATTTTTTTCGTTTGGCCAGTTATGTTACTTAGAGACCCAGATTTCCCCCATTTTAAAACTGATTAATGTAATAGAAACACAACATGACAGAACCTATGAGATACATTTAAAGCAATAATAAGAGGAAAATTAATAGCCTGTATAAACACTTAGATCAATAAAAATAAAAAGTGAATCAAATTCCCAACTTACAAAGACAGAAAAAATAAATAAATAAAACTTTAACAAAGCAAAACAAAATAAGGTACAAGGATAGAAATAATAAAAATAAAATCAGAAATTAATGAAAAAGAATAGGAAGACAACAGGTCTATGGAAGTGAAATCCTGGTTCTTTGAAAAAATTAACAAAGTAGACAAACCACTACCTAACTCAGTCAAGAAGAGAACCTAAATATAAAACTAAGAAATTACAATGGGAAAGTAACTATTAAAAGTGGAAATTTAAAAAATTAATGAGACTACTTTGTGAATCTCAATGCAAATAAATCTGAAAATGTAAATAAAATGGATAATTACTTAGAAAAATACAATTTACCAAAACGACCCCATTAGAGATGGAAAGCTTCAACAGACCACTTTTTGTAGAAGAAATTGAGGAAATTGTCAAGGAATTTCCTCGGGGAAAAAAAGCAGCAGGCCTAAAGGATTTCACAGGAGGTACAAACCTGCAAAGTCTGTTTCAATGCTACTTAAATTCCTTCAGTGCATGAAAAATAAAGATAAACTTCCAATTTTTTTTATGAAGCAAATATAACATCGGTACTTAAACAAATATTACCTATAAATAATGGTGCAAAAAGCCTAAAAAAATTAGCAAACAGAATCAATATCTGCTACAGTTTGAATGTGTCTCCCCAAAAGCACGGGTTGGAAACTTAATCCCCAATGCAACAATGTTGGGAGGTGAGGCCTAATGCAAAGTGATTAGGCCATGAGGGTTCTGCCCTCAGGAGTGAATTAATGCTGTTAAATCAGGAGTGGGTTTGTTATAAAAGGCCGAGTTTGGCCCCCTTCTCTCTCTCTCCCTCTCCCTCCCTTGCCCTTTCACCTTCTGCCATGGGATGACACTGTAAGAAGGCCCTTGCCAGATGCTGGCCCCTCAATCTTGAACTTCCCAGCCTCCAGAATGGTGGGATTTCTTTCTTTCTTTCTTTTTTTTTAATTATCTGGTGTCTGGTATTCTATTATAGCAGTACAAAATGGGCTCAGACAATACCACATTAAGAAAATAATTCAACAGGACTAAGGGAGTTTCATTCCAGGAATGTAAGGTTAGTTCAATATTATAATAAAATATATCATATTAAGTGATCTAAGAAGAATCATCTGATTATCTCCATTGATGCTGAAAAAGCCTTTGATAAAATTCAACATTTATTTCTAATTAAAAAATAAAACATTCATGAAAATAGAAATTGATGGATACCTCACACCATCCACATAAACATCTAATAAAATAATAATAATAATAGAAAAAACATAACACGATTCCTTTATAACTGGATATACAGAAAGAGCACAATAAAAATAAAACATTGATAAATTACACTATGTTAAAATTAAAAATATTTTCATGGTAAAAAATAATCGATAATTCATTTTTAAGGTACATTTATCTAAGAGGATTAATATAGCTTTTATCCGAAAAGTGTTAGCTTAGATCTGTCACAAAAGTGATGTCATCTTACCTAATAAAGTTTTATTTAAAAGGAGCACAGTGGGGGAAGAGAAATGGACCATGGAGAGGGAGGGAGAGCCTATCTTGTGTACTATTTACTCCAGCTTTACCTTCTTCAGTTTCTTGTGGGCCCCTCTGTGGTACCCCTGCTCCAGGTCGGCCACACCCAGGAGCCGGTATGTCTCTGCCACCTCAGGACTGAAATCACCAAAGGCTTCCAATTTGGCTTCTAGGGACTCTCTCAGGATTGAGGTTGCTCTCTGTGAAAGGAATAAAAAGCTGTCTGGTTGAAAAGTTCAAAGACTGATCGAGATCAATACCTCTTAAGAAAATTATGTATGGATATATATTTTCACTTTTTAGAGGAATGGGTTTGGTAGTCTCCTGAGCTGAGCCCACTCTCCTGTAGTTAAATAGGAGACAGTAAATAGCACACATGGTGGGGGCGGGGGTGGGGGTAGAAGGTGTAAACTATGAAGACGGAATGCATGAAGGACACCTGATGAAAAAATGCACCTCAGCTATCACAGGAACCTGGTTCAGTTGAGCAGGAGGACAAAAGCTAATACGTATGGAGTCCTTATGTGTCAGGAACTGTGCTGAACAGTTTATGTGTGTGATCTCATTTAATTCTCATCGCCTTCTTTAAACAGGTACAGTTTTCATACTCATTTGATGGGGGAGAAAACTGAGGCACAGAGCAGTCAAGAAACTTGCTTAGAGTCAGACAGCTCATCATTGACAGTGCTAGGATCTGAATCTGGCCAGTAATTTTCATACTTTTTATTTCCACGCTCTTCTCCCTCTGTGCACACTAATGTTCTTACAAAAGTGAAAACCACAGAGTTCCCTGGTGATTTATCTACTTCCAGAACATCCAGAACTTAGGGTTTTCTATTCTCATAGGAGATAGTTTGGGAAACCCAAGGTAAACATTCCAACATGACGTGAGATTGTGTTTGTTTTATCCAATTTATAACAACGTGACGTAAAAAATATGAGTTGGTTAGAAACAATGTTTTCTGATATTAATCTCTTCAGTCAGACACCATGACATGCAGGGGGAAAGCCCTGTTAAGGGATGTCAATCTCCCACACTTTCTCCTGATATTCTTCCACATCTACATGAAAGCATAATTACAGCTACAGAACAGGAATGCTGACTCTAACAACCAGATAAAGCAGGGACCACTGAATGAGCTTCCCAGCAACACAGCCCCAAGGGCATCCCAATAATGCTCCACAGACAGAAGGATCTGGCGAGAACATTAATCCTTTTATTGGCAATATAATGAGTTAAGGGCTGGGGCTGGGGTGGGGGAATCACATTCTGCTGATGAGGCAGAAATCAATTTTCTGGAATTGCTGTAGGGGCAGAGCGATTGTATAACTTTCCAAGTGAGGCCTGCTGAGGTATATAAGGGACTAGGATTTAAATCCAGTCTTTCCTGAAAGTAAAGCCCATCACATCCCTCCCCCAATGTGCGTGAGCAAGGACTCAGATTGAAGAGAGTGTTGGGTTTGGTAACTTTTCATGGGAACTGAAACTTTTCCATGGGAACTAGTTTCCCCAGTCAGGCTTTGAGGAGCCAGTGATGGAAAGAGCCAGAGACCCCTTTTCCTAAATGAAGCTTTCAATGCTGTGTACAGCCTGACTGGGGAAACTAGTAGTGGGTGTGCATGCAGTTAAATGGCAAGGTGAGACAACAGTAGAAGAGATGTCACATGGGTTTAGAGGAAACTGAGATGGTGCCAACCTTTAATAGTGAGGAAACAGTGGAGAGGGGTGAAGAATAAATAGGACTTAGGTAGGCAACTGGAGCACAGGAGCACACACACCCTGTTGAGGTCCAGTGAGTGGACTCATTGGCTGCAGCAGAGAAAGTGTGAAGGGGATAAGAGGGAGAGGAGGCTGGACTTTCTCACAGGGAATAAGAAGCCAGAGAAGGTTCTTGAGCAGGACACTGGCACAACTAGAAGATAAATCCACACAGATTTAACCTGTGGCAGAGTGACCTTCACTTACACTTTACCTTAAAAGCCATTTGCTCCCCAAAGATCACCTTCCAGCTGGTGCCCACATGTAGGCTGTGACCACATCTGTGATGGTCTGAGTGCAGCCAAGTGATTGTCTCTGGGACTGTCCTTGGGCTCAGTCCTTGTTGGCCAATGCCTGCTAGATACTCACAGTGAGAGGTATGCCACCAAAGGGAGAGAACAACATGAGGTGGCCATGATTGGCTGGGCATTGGTGCCATTAGCAAGGATGCCTGGCAGGAGAATTAGGGCTGAAGTCCAGTCCATGTTCTACTCTCCAGGCAACATGCTTTGGCACAGGCTGTACCTACCTGAGGAAAAGGCAGCTTTTTCTGTTCCTAAAAGGGCACTGGAAGGACTAACAGTGGCCCTAGAATGAAAAGGACTAGTTTGCTAAAATCTCCAAGGGCAGCCTGAGAGAGTGAGGTGCATCTTTTGATCAACAACACTGATTTGAGTGACTTGGGCAAGGGCAGTGAGGCACAGCATCAGTGACACTGGCACCAGCTGCCTCAGCAACAGACACCATGGCAGGAAGCCAGATGGGCATGGGACAAAGGGCACATGGCCTGTGGTAGTCACAGGAGTCAGGTGGCCTGCAGCCAAACACACATCCACCCATCTACTCATTACCCTACCTCCAGAAAAAGCGTCCCTGCTCTCACGGAATTCAGTCTGGTTGCCAGAGAGACATTAAACATCCACATAAATATATACTTACAAATATCTTATTATGTCAGACAGGTCTCTGTAAGGGAGAATAATCGGGAGAATCTAATGGAGACTGGGGAGAGGAAGCAGGGAAGCTGGCAGGAACTGAAGGGTGGACTGGCATTAGCCTGGAGACGCATGGAGGAGAAAACAAAGGTGGTCCTCCCTGAAAATATGAATTAGAAATGGCCAGTGTGGCAGGAACACAGATCTGGGAGAGGGGGTAAAAGTGAGAATGGAAATGTGAGCAGAATCCAGATCATGGAAAGTACTGTGGGCCATATAGGGATTCTGAGGGCACTGAGCAGCCATAGGAGTATTTTACAAATGAGTGTTTCATTGATCAGATTTTCTTTTTGAAAAGATCACTGCGGCTTCTTTATTCTGAATGGATTAGGAAAGGGCAAGTGTGGAAGAAGCAGCTGGGCGACAGGAGCTTGTTAGTTCAGTCCAGGTAAGAGGTCACACCTTGTGGGAGTGGAGATGGAAAACAATGGATGGATTTAATATTTAATATTATTTTGGAGGGAAAATGACAGAGGAACCAGATGAGGTGAAGCTTGATGGGACAGAATTCCCCCCATTCTTCTGACCTAAGCACTCCTCATAGCACTTTTAGAAATTGGGGAGGGGGTGGGGGGGAAATCTGAAGCTCCTGGAAGGCCCCTCTCTCCTTGGTTGGGTGATTCAGAAAAATACTGAAACTCCTCTCCTTTTGGTGACTGTACCTCTACTTTGGCCTGAGAAACATCAGTGAATCTAGATTAAAAAATTAAAAGCCTGTGTTTCCTAATTGAGAGGGGGGCAGGGGATTAAGGATGAGGGAAGAACTATGGGGGAGGAAGTCTACAGACAGCAAAGGAAAATAAAAATTTCTTCATTTCCAAGATTTGCCAGGATAGATTAGAATGGGGGGAAAAAACTCACATACATATGTATATAATGAGTGTGTGTGTGTGTGTGTGTGTGTGTATTATATATATATATATATATATATATATATATCTTGAGCCATAGTATGTGGCTTTTCAATAGCTCTTAGGCTTTCCATGAAATAATAAATGTTCCCAAAAATTTCATTATCAATGAATATAATAAACTCTGGGTTTCATCTCATTTTTATAAGCCATGTCAGGCACACCTGTACAGATTAATGGTAAAAGAGTATAAGCTGTAACTTCTGCATTGTTCAATCTTTATTAGATATGCAAATTCCATTCATTACCCAAAATCAGAAGCGAGGAATTAGACACACTAACTGCCATACTTGATGCCTGGGATCCTAGGGAGGAGCCACGGGCAGCACCCAGTGCCCAGCAGAAGGCAGAGGTACACCCAGGGTCCTAGGCAGGAGCTGTGGGTAGCACCGCCCACCCAGCAGAAGGCAGGAGCACTTGGAAGACACCACTTTCATGTGAGTGGTCCACCATAGCCACCACCACAGCCACAGCCACTGCCACTGCAAGGGTGGCTTGCCACCACAGTAGCAGCCACAGCCACCATGCAGGTGGCCTGCCGCCCACTCAACTGTGTTGCCTTAAGGAAAGTCACCATTGGAGTCTGGAAAAATAAGAGGAAGTCTCTCTCCTCAAATCCCACTCCAGAGTAATAGAAGAAGCAACTTGCTCTCCCAGATTACCAGACATTGACATAGAGATATTAGAAATATGAAAAACCAAGAAAATATGACAACAGCAAAGGAATACAGCAATTCTCAAGTACCAGCCCCATAGAGCAAGAAACCCTTGAAATGACCAAAAAGGAATTCTGAGAACAATCTTAAGGAAACTGAATGAGATATAAGAAGACTCGGATAGCTTAATGAAATAAGAAAAAATCTGCAGAATATGAAGGAATAAACTTACAAAGAGACTAATATCCTAATAAAGAATATAGCTGGAACTGAAAGAAAAAAGAACTCCTGGAACTGAAAGATTCATTCATGAAATGAAAAACACAACCATGAACTTAAGCAGCAGATTAGAGCAATCAGAAGAAAGAATTTTGATCTTGAAGATAGTCTTTACAAAATAACCCAGACACACACACACACAAACAAAAAAAAAAAAAAAAAGGAAAAAAAAATTTAAAAAAATGAAGAATATCTAAGGAGCTAACAGACAACCTTAAGTGCACAAACATCTGAATCATAGGTGTTCCAGAAGGTGAGAAGAAAGGAAAAGGCATTGAAAACCTATTCAATGAAATAATAATGGAAAACTTCCCAGGTATAGGGAAATCCATGGGCCTTCAGATCTAGGAGGCTCATATATACCCAAACAGATTCAATCCAAAAAGATCCTCACCAAGAAACATTATATTCAAACAAGCAAAGCTCAAAGACAAAGAGAAAATCCTAAAAGCAGCAAGAGAAAAGCATCAAGTCATTAATAAGGGAGCCCCCACCAGACTAACAGCAGACTTCTCAACAGAAACTCTACAGGTCAGAAGAAAATGGGATGATATATTTAAAATCCTAAAAAAACCAACCAAAACCAAAACCAAACTGCCA